AGGGACTGTGTTTTGTGCGTGCAGGCTGCAGACACTGAAGCAACACTCGGTTTAACTAATAGTTATATGGTAATTAATCTTTTCTCAGAACCTAATGCTCCGCTCTCCAAGTTCCAAGCATTTCAACAAGAGACTTGATCAAAAACACACCAGATTTCCTTGTAATGTCGATGATCCCTCTCATACCCGTTGGTCTTAAACGGGGATTTAACGCTTTAGTTCTCCAAATATCTCAATTAAAAAGCCCGTGCAGCCAGAGCACTCGAGGAAACAACTGTTTGCTTTATGCAAACTAAAAGCTTTGGACAGACTTTGCTTTGGTTTCTGAAATGAAATTGAGGAGAGAAAACAGAAATGTAATTCAGTCTGTGCAACAATTTTTGGGTGCTTTTCAGACTCGGCAGCCCTTTTGTTTCCTGCTCATTTTGAAGCATCCACTTCTTTCTTTTTGTTATTCGTATCATTTGTCCGTCTTCTTCGTCCGCGGAGGCTGTTTTGAAAGCATGCAAATGCGGTAACCGCCCCGTGCGCCCGTCAGTAAATCTCTGGACAGCGCCGAAGAAACCCGACTACAAACGCCGGCCTCGGAAATTTGCAGGGTTAATTACAAATGTCTCTTTAACAACAGCAATTATTCTTATCTATATAATCATCACCCAGTAACCACAGGTTTGTTTCCAGTAATTACTGAGCTACAATCAGCCGCAAAACTAATGCATCAGCGTATAGGATTTTAAGTGGCAAGTATTGATTGCTTTGGAGTTTTAATTTGGCAAAAGCGCCTTCAGTTCATCAGGTTGGCTGCTCGCTCGCCATTGGCAGTGAAATGATGAGGCAGGAAGCGAGCGGATGGCTCCATTTGTTTGGACAGGTTGGCACTGTCAGTCAGTTAATTCCTAACTTTGCAGGAATGTGTATTTAAACAAAGCCACCCCCGGGAGCATTCATCACGGCCGTCGCCTTGTCCATTTGTCAACATCAGAGACATGAGGTTTGTACACTCACTCTGTAACACGGCAGCGGTGAAGGTAGTTATTGTGTTCTTGGCTGCCGCGGTCCGATCACATAGCATCCGTCATCGGCCAATAGGGCTTTGGCCGAAAGTGGCCGTCATTAGTTTGGAGCTGATTGATTGGCTGTTGAGGAGTTCTTTCGGTTTCATACATCACTCTGCTGAGTTGCTGCAGAAGGCTGCTAATGTGGTCTGGAGCCGCAGATGCTCACTGGGTGGCTTTCATTCTTTTTTCATATGTCAGAACTTGCGACACAACCATTAGAGGCTTTTTTTTTTTGCTTTTTTTTTCCGGCAAAGAGTGAAAAATGTGATGTGTTGCGCTTTTAATATTTTTGAAGAACAAGAGAAGCTCGTTTCTTTTGAGGCTGCAAAACAGACCTTGCAGCACACATTTGCGGATCTTTTGTCAGTAAAACACTTTAATGGGTTTTATAGACGATCCAGCAGCATGATCCAAGACCTGTCTTTGTCCGGTTGGTCATTTACTCAACACCAGACTGAGATATCTAAACAACCAACAAGGGGATTCCTCTGATTACTTACATATGGTTCTTGTTCATTAGTGAAGCACCTTAACGACTGGCGATGGATTGCCTTGAGCCATGGTGCACACATTCAGGTGAACTGTTTTAACTTTGGTGGCGTTTTAACTTTTCATGGTGCCATTATCAAGGATGCACAGTTCTTCTAATATGACTCTAAATCCTCATTTTGGCAATTAAATGGACAAAACTCTGACACAGCTCATAGAAACACTGCACTCAACATTAAATCAAGCGCTCTCTAAACTAATGGAGATGTTTTGGCTTTTGGGAAACCGTCTGCAGCCCGGAGCAGAAGAGCAGTTTACAGCAGAGAGCATCTGATGTTTGCAGTTTGGATTTAGGGCAAGTGAGGTTAAGCAAGAACAAATCTTGTTTCTGTGCTGCCAAACAACACAACTAACTTATTCAACCACCTGAAAAAAAAGCCCTCAAGCGGCTGTTTGGCGAACGTGTAAAGGCCAAAGAGAATAACGGCGCCGACGTAACCTCATTAACTCACCGTGTTTGTTCAGCATCAGCTCAGATTTCCATAAGAGCGACGTTATATGGCGTGTCATTGACTTGCATAATGTGACGGTGAAAGAAGTGCTCTGTTGATTTGGTTTGGGGTCGAAAATGCGGCGTCTAGGAGATGCACATTGAATAAGTCTCATTCCGATGCAAAGATATGCATCGTAGGAGCAACATAGCTCAACGCTGAACTGAAAGCAGCGCTCTCTTTAGAGATGAAAGACAACTATTAGTCTCTAAAATCGATGATTATTCATGATAAACAATCATCATCTCAATATTCATTAAAACAGCTGTGATTTTCATATTAGCCGTAATCACGCAGCTCTGTTATGTTGTATTTCTAGTGTTTATATTTCTATCAGGGGAGATCGATCTTCTGCAGCGGCTCCGACGCTTAACAACAGCCTTCTTCTTTCAATAAAACGTTCGTCTTTTATTGATATTTTCAAGAGAAATCTCAAGATGTAAATGTTTCCAGCGGCTTTGGACTGCTCTTAACGGTCCTAGTATTTCATATTTATCTTTAGAAACTGATCTGACAAGTTGCAACCCTTCTTTCACCATTTTTAGTATTTTATACTATTTTCTTTAGTTTTTAAAATTGATTTTACATGTTTTATATTGTCTTGAAGGCTGCACGGTGGAGCAGTGGTTAGCACTGTTGCCTCGCAGCTAGAAGGTCGTTGGTTTGCATCCTGGTGAGGACACCTGGTATCTTTCTGCATGTTCTCCCCGTGCAGCGTGGGTTCTCTCCGGGTTCTCAGGCTTCCTCCCACACAGTCCAAAAACATGTTGAGGTTAATTGGTGATTCTAAATTGTCTGTAGGTGTGAATGTGAGTGTGCTTGGTTGTCTGTCTCTAAGTGTAGCCCTGTGATAGACTGGTGACCTGTCCAGGGTGTCTCCTGCCTTCGTGACCCTAGTGAGGATTAAGCGGTGTATAGATGATGGATGGATGGATGTTGGCACATGGTTTTTGCTGCCTCTCTGGTAACATGTGCAGCCCTTTGGTTAACTTAGGTTGCTTCTAAACGTGCCATATAAATATCTTTCATTTGATCTGTTCTATTTTTCAAGTCAAATTTTCACTTGTATTCATGTTTAGTGCTAATTAGCATTGCTAGCTTACTAGCACACCTAAAGAAGGCGGTAAATATGGCAGATCTATACCTGCCGGCACCGTTGGTAGCTTGTAAGCCAAAGTTCAGCCTGGGAGCACCACTGGCAGAGCTGTAGAGGCGTTTCGACTAAGCAGGGATGGAAAACATTGGCCCCCATTCAGCCCTCGCTCTTCCCCAGTTAGAAATACTGACTATTCTGTTCGTATTGATACAAATTCCTTCACATTTCCAACACAGAGAAACCTTTTATTCTCTGGGGACTGCTCAAAAGTTGTTCATGTGAATTCAGAAGAAAAAAAAAAGCTCATAAGGCAGGTTGATTGAAAGCAAATTATGAAAAAAAAAACAGGCTTTTGGCACAAAAACAACACAACGATATCTCATCCAAGGGCGTCTGAAAGTGGATTTTTTTTCTTTCTCCCTTTGAGGCTGTGTGTGTTTTTTGTTTTTTTTTTAAGCACAGGCCTTTTCTGCCCGTTGTGCACCGCCGGTCACACGTAGCAACACTGCAGATATTCATTTGGGATTCCGAGGTAATTGACTTCACCCAGTCGCCACCTGATTTTAATTAACGGTGCAGCACATTGGGTTGCAAAACCTGCAATATAAAGAGTCAAACTGGAGACGAAGGTATTAATTAACATTAAGTACATCTCAGAGCAAATCAAAGTGAGTCATTTCCTTTGCAGTGTTTAATGGGGATTGTACAACACTTCTCCTCGCAGATGTAATTAATTGAACAAGCCCGTGAAAAGAAGTTTGCTTCTTATCATGAAATGTAGACAACATGAGAGGCTCCCTGTACTGCAGTAGAAGCCTTTTTTTTTAAATTATTTTTTTATTTTTTCAAATCTCAGACTGGCTGAACTTTATTAAAAGGTTTTTTTTCTCTCTCCTCAGTCCTAACAAGGCTCACTTTATTGCAACTACTTCATCCTCTGGGTCATAACTTTTTACAGGCGCTCATGTCTTCAACATAATTTCAAACATTCTGAGTGTTATTACTTCACTGCAATATTTAATCCATTACATCCTTTCGCTGCTATCACTAATGCACCCGTGCAGCAAAGCATTTTTTTGTTTCTATAATTACAATAAGAAAGCAAATTTACATCTATATCTACATGCTGCGGGGCTAATCTGAGAGATTTCTGCCCCACCACCACCACCACCAGCAGCAGCATTTTGGATTTGGACTAATGAGATGAGGCTTTATTTGCAAATGAATAAATATGAATAAACTATGACAGACATTTGATACGGCGTGATTAAAAGTGTCCTTGAATGTTTTATGAGCTTATCCTCCACGCCAGCTCAGTATTAAAGTTTCAGGACTTTAATTTGAATTGTACATTTTTAATTGATGCAACACATTGCATCCCAGCTGACTTGCGAACCAAATGTGCGTGTGGGCGCACACTCCTGTGGAATATTGAATGGCACAGTCCCGCATTTAAAGAAAGAGATGCTCGGCTTCTCTCTCTCTCTCTCTCTCTCTCTCTCTCTCCCTCCCTGCTGTCTCCTCCTCCTCCTCCTCTTTCTCTTTCCACCGAGAATCTTTTGCCTTTTTTTTTTCCTCCCCTCATCTCGAGCAGCGCGTCCTTCCACCACTTGTTATTTCACACCTTGGTCGCTGCAAACCCACAGGCGCAGTAGAATAGACTTCTTCTTCTTCTTCTCCTGCTGCTGCTGCTGCTTCTGCTGCTGCTGCACCGGTGTATCTTTCTTTCTGCATTATTTTTTATTTTTTTTAAAACATCTATTCCCTCCTGCCGGGGAAACAACTCCCCAGCTTTAAAGGGGAATCATGACCACCGCGAAGGAAGGCAATGCACCGTCGAAAGCGGCTCAACAGCAAGACCAGGTACCGACGAGCTTCTTTTCCTCTTATTAATATCAGCATTAACCTGTGTCACCCTGCTCCCTCCATCCGGGTTGGCTGCTGAATAATATTCGCTGCGGTGACTTCCCTGACCGATTGAAAATGGTGTGTTGAAGAGAGAGAGAGTGGGGGAAAATAGAATTTGGTGCCCTGCGTTCGTAAAAGGCGTTTGCACTCTGAGTCAATTGGAAGTGAGAGCCGGTCGCTGCTGGCACTCCATCACGACTGAAGGATTTTTTTTTTTACAGCCTCGCTTATAACCACCGCCGTCGTTGTTATTATTATTGTGATTTTTACGCATTGGTAATTATTTGGCGACTTTACGCACGCCGGCTTTTCTCTCTCCATCCGGCGCGCTTCTTCACCTTGCAGCAGGACACGCAAATCGGCTCAATTAACCCAACTTGAAGCGTGCAAAAGTGCGACCGGAGATCACATCAGCTTTTTTCATTTCCATTCTGACCTCTGCAGGCTGGAGTTTCCTTCTGAAGGCTGAGGACACTGTTGCATTTTTTGGCGTGGTGCAGGGGTGGCTCTGCTCGGTTTCATTTCGCAGCCTTCACTCAGTAATGATGGAGCATCTGCTGACCCGCCTCCATAGATTTAATACAGGGGGAGAGAGAAAAAAAAAGAGGAAACAATTGGTATCATTTTTTTTGTATGAATATTTCATGATATGAGAGAAAAAGGAAACACTTCTTTTCTATTGTGGTGTGTTGATGTCAAGGTTAACAAATAATGCACCTCCTCCTACAGCACAGAGCTGGAAAAATTTGAACAATAATGCAATTTTGTGCTAACTGCTACCTTTCGAAAGGACTCCCACACACTGGGAATCTTTGGAAGTTGTTGGATTGGAAGGGAAATGAAGGCAACTTGTTTAGTTTGAATATTTAGCATCTAAATTCACCGATATTCTGTTTGTGCAGCATCACTACAAACCTGCTCTGACTGATTGGCACACTACACAACCACTCACCACCCAATATTTTCACCCTTTTCCACTTAAATCTGTAAGTTTCTGTGTGGTATCCTGCTGTCACATGCTGTCTTCTGCCACGTACAAGAATAAAGGTGATTTTTCCCCCCCCCTAAGTTTCGAAAATCATACGTGTATCGGCACAAACTATAACTTTTAGATCTGTCACTGCCACCCTCCACCTGTGCGCCGCACGGTGTAAAAAAAAAAAAAAAAGAAATGACAGAAAAGGTGAGGTGGGACACTTGGTTTTATCCTGCCAAGCAGACAATCTTCCCCTGCTGTGATTTAGCAGCAGACTGTCAGTCACACCTTAGGAGGCAGCCGAAAGGTCCGGCAGTCCCACCCTGCAGGTTCTGCACATGCGGTACAGGAGAGCATCACCACAAGCAAGTAATGGACTATAAAGTGATGCTAAATTACGCTGAAAGGATTAAGCAATGGGAGTTGTTAAGTCATTAATTAATAATTTGTCATTTATCAACCGAAAATGGCTCAAAGTTTTGGCTTCTCAACAGGCGAGGGTTTCTGTTGAGTATCTTTGCTGGTTGAACAAAAGAGGCTTTTTAAAGACGTCAGCGTGAATTCTGATGGAGTTTTTCAAGTGTTTTTAATTTCCTGATTTTGTAAGATGAAATAGAGCCGCAGCAGATATTTTTGAGTATTTTGAAATGAATCGTTTTTGAGTTTACGATAAGTCAGAAACTAGAAAATACCTGCCGCCATTTGCAAGATCCCAAGGTGACGGCTGCCAAATGTTGGTTTTGACTGAATGTGAGTGTTGCTGTGTAAATTAAAGCAGCGATAAATAAACGTATGGCAGTTCCTCATTTGAGAATTTGAAAAGAGAGACTGTTTAGCATTTTTGTTTGATAAGTGGCTTAAATTCTTCATTTGCAAACTATTGGCTCGTTGAACTATTCAGCATTTCTGTAAAAGAAAAAATCCAATCAATACAGGAACCAGTAACTAAAATGTTTCCTGATGGGCTTATTAGTATTTGGCTGCGTTAGGCATTCGCAGTAGTTGTTGAATCGGTTGGTATTAAGGCTTTGGAGCAAGCAAAATTCAGTTCACGCCACTAAAAACTGACCTTTTTCTTAATTACTGAGAAGATTAGAGACCTGGTGATGCTGGAACATCAGTCGATGGTTAATGGTCGCTGTCGGTGGGTTTTCCTGAGGCGTGAAGCTCCAGCAAAGTGAAAAATTACTTTGAGCGTATTAGGTTGTACAGCCCGCAATGTAACATAGACACGGATGCTTGCACACACACACGCGGCCGCTGTGATTACGTGAGGTCCTGTTGCGGCCTGCTGATTGATGGTCTGCTAGCAGGGCTTACGGTCCAGGGACAGAGGACGGAGATAGAGGGCAGCTCACCAGAGATAGCAGCAGCGGCAGCAACCAGTAATCAACTCGCCGCAGCACACCGAGAGAGTCACATCACTAACCCTCATTACTGCAACAAGGTGGAGGTTCTGGAGGTGCGAGAGGTCGGGCCGGGGGCCGGGGGCGGTAATGCATTTGCAGAGCCGAGAGATGCTTTGGACTCATTTGAAGCTGTTGTCAGAACACACTAATCTTTGGGTTACTACAAAGACGACGGCTGTGATTGGCAGCCTGAGAAATCTCTCAGCTCGAAGGGAAAATTCTGCCGCTCGATACGGACAAACGCGTTCAGACGCTGGGATTCTGTGGCTCTTGTGTTTTTTTTTTGATGCCTGAAAAGCAGCTGGTTTCGCGTGCGGTTTAATGATGCCACATTTTCCAAGTTGGGATTCCCTCCCCTCAGCCATTTGCAGCCAAGAGCGGCTTTAAAGCAGCATCGCTGCACCCGACATTTAATGGGTGAGACTTCAGCGGAGATGGCTTGACCATTTAACCAATATCCGGCTTTTTTCTTTTTACATTTTCTTCACACCCTGTATGACTGGCAGACTTTGAAACCTTAGCGAGTAATGCAAGCTAAAGCGAGAGGCTGGAACACTGTGCGAGACGAGCTGAAAAGCAAAAAAAAAATCTGCGCTGTTAAAATTGAATTTGTAGCATCTCATACTAGCAATAAAGGACTTTGGTAAGGAATTTCGGAAGGGGGGGCGGGGGAATCAAAGCCAAAAACCTCAGCTTCATGCCATTGCGGCAGCTTGAGTAACAGCTGAGCGGAGCAGCCTGTGGGTGTTCCTGAAGAGAATAGACATCCAAGGGCCAAAGGAAAAAGGGGAATTATGGTGGAGCTATAGCATAGGTAGAATAGCAGGGCTCGTATTTTAGCGATTTTGCAGCTTTTCCTTGGCGCTCTTGTCAAGGTGCTTTATTTCTGTTTTGCTTTGGTGAATGTGCCTGAAGGAGCTTTTTTTTTTTTCCGCCCAGCTGAGCTCTTTGCTGGCAGGTGAGGAAAGGGTGGCTGGTGTTATTGGATGCACCAGATGATGCGTGTCACTGTGCATGCGGCCAGGCGAGCGTTCACACCATGCCACGGTGCAGAATTTGCAATTTCCAACTAGCGAGGAAGAGAAAGCGCATAAGAAAAATCCTTCACGTAGCACATTTGTTCAGTAATATTAATATATGTGTGTTTTCCTCTGAGCGAGGATACCCACCTAATAGGCTGCTGGTATTCATGCCATGTTAATCTAAAATAAGGTTTCCGAGGGTGCGCTTTTGTCAAATATTGATAAAATGTTGTTTATTTCAAACGGAGCCTGTCTGCTATCAGCTGATAAATTGAGGCATGAAATGTGAAGCCGCTCACTTGAAAGTCAAAATATTGACGAGGGAAGAGGAGTCAGACAGGAACACGCTCTTTAAAGATGGCGAAGAGGTGTAAATATTGCAGAACCGACGATGTTTGACTTTATTTTTTCTCTCTCGCGTTTTCTCGTGGAGAGGAAAAACAAATATGATTTTAATCAGCCGTGTTTTGTTTTCGCTGTCGCCTCGGTGGCCTGCCGACGAAGAGCTCAAGTGATGAGCGCTTAAACAGATGTTGATTGAAGGAGCGAGTTGCGCGCGATGCTCAGTGGGAATCATCTGCAACACACCTGCTTTTGTGGCTTTTTTTTTTTTTGTTGCGTGAACTTTTGTCTGCAGATTGGGGAAAACAATGAAGCATTGCTGCAGAATTGATGAAGTTTCACTGCTTTTTTTTTTCTTTCTTTAACAAATAGACACCGTGCATCGACTCAAAATCCATTTTTACAAGCTTCCGACTGTCAACACGTGTTGCCAAAACCAGATGTCGCGTCACCTGTTGATCAGCCAGGAAGGTGCGCAGCAGGATGGTCACGGATTAGCTTGCAGAGAATTCAGATTTGCTCTGCCTGTCGTTTGCAGTGACCCCGTTTCATGCATGCATTGATAAAATATCACAGCGGAATACATTAATTTCAATAAATTCGCTTTGATGTGTGGATTTACTTGCATCGATTCCAGAGAATTTCAAAAGGCAGGGTGCTAATGTAGCTTATTAGCTGTATTTTTCTACTCTTATGTAGAATAGATGACACAGAAGTGTTTTAATGCAGAAATCGATGGCACTAGTGGGCTTCTATTTTGATGAGAGAAGAGAAAGAAGCTGGAACAACTGGTGCCATGTTAGCCAAAGCTGTCCAACCCTGCGAGTTGTCGCTAAGTCGCCGAGCTTGGACCACCTCCCTGCTTCCCTCAGCGTGAAAAGTTCTGTTTACAAGTGCATGCAAAGTGCATAAAAACAGAACCTTTATCCACCTCCCGGGAGGAGGTTTTTCATATGCATGAGGTTCCACTGAACTCCTCGCTGTGTATTCTCTTGCATAATTTGAATTTGTTGCTTCATTTACCAGGTTCTAGCGACTTTGCTTGCAACTCGGGTCGACTGCACTTCCTTCAGGAAACGCGTCGTTTGAAAATCGCTCCGCGCCTCGTTGTGTGGTTCTTTCCTGACGTAGAGTTTCCTTCCCCCCCGCGGTGAATTCATGGCGTTAGGTCATCTGGTGTTCTCCGCTTCTCGCCGTGTTGCGCCT